ATGCCTCTGAGAGATTTATTAGTAGATTGGACATAGCTGAGGAAAGAATCTCTGAGTTTCAGGCTAAATCAATAGATACTGAAAAGTAAACAGAGGGAAGACTGAAAAAATCAGAACAGAATGTCCAGGAACTATGAGACAACTATAAAAGATGTAAAATATATGTAACGGGAATACTAAAAGAAAACAAAAACACCAAATAAACATTTGAAACAAATACTGAAAATTTCCCCAAATTAATGTCAAAAACCAAACCAAACATGCAGAAAGCTCAAAGAACACAGAGCAGGATAAATGCCCCCCCCCCAAAAAAAACTACATTTGCATATACCATTTTCAAACTACAGAAAATCAAATGTAAGGAAAAAAATCTGAAAGCAGAGAGGAAAAAAGTTACTTTACCTACATGAGAACAAAGATAAGAATTATATCTGACTTCTCGGAAACTATACATGCAAAATGAGAGTGGAGTAAAATATTTAAACTGTTAAAAGAAGGAAAAAAACTACCAAACTAGAATTCAGCACTCTAGGAAATTATCTTTCAAAAGTGAAAAGAAGACTCATGCTTATAATCCTAGCACTCTGGGAGGCTGAGGCAGGGAGAATCACTTGAGGTTGGGAGCTTGAGGTCAGCCTGAGCAAGAGTGAGATTCTCCTTCTACTAAAAATAGAAAAATATTAGCCAAGCGTGGTGGTGCCTACAGTCTCAGCTACTTGGGAGGCTGAGGGAGGAGGATCACTTAAGCCCAGGAGTTTGAGGTTGCTGTGAGCTAGGATGACACCCCTGCACCCTAGCCAGGGCAACAGAGCAACACTCTATCTCAAAGAGAGAGAGAGAGAGAGAGACAGACAGACAGACAGACAGACAGACAGACAGACAGACAGAGACAAGAGAGACAGAGAGAAGAGAGAGGATTCTGGAAAGATCGGTTAGTAGGAAGCAAGAGGAACCAGTCTGTCACCCAACCTAGACAACAACTGCACTGGCAGAATATGTCTGACGTAAAGATTTGAGAATTCTGGAGTCTACTTAAGGCTTGCAACTTCCAAGATAAGGCTTGGACTGCAAATGGTTGTTAATTTTAATCAATTTCAGCTCCCAGAGCAGTAGCAGATACTAATCCCTGGTCCACTGCCCCTAGGCAGGCAGCTGGGTACCTGTTCCTAGAATAAGCTGCACTCAACTTGGGAGAGCCAGGGTAGGCAAAAAGGATCCTGTTCTCCAAACATCAGGCATCTGGGCTCTGATCACTGATGGCTGCTTCTGATCATACAGGTGCACACGAACATGGGTGACCACTGTTGTCGCACATCCCCTCATAGTTGCAAACTCCTATCCCTCCAGCTGAAGTGACACCCAGGTGATTTAAAAGGTTGGTACTCTTTTTGAAGACCCCTTCATTTTTCAGTTTTTTTCCTTCTGAGAGCCAGACTTTAAAGACTAAAGACATTTAAAAGCAACTGCATATGAGGAAAATCAGAAAGTGACTACATGTACCCAAGGAAAGGCACAGGCTCAGAAAAGACCTGAGAAGGCCTTAAGTTTATATCTCAGATTAATACTTGGCACAGAGACAGGATACAACAGGATATGCCAAGTATGCCAGGATACTTGGCATAACAACAGTAACAAAAAATAAATAAATAGCAAACCCTGCAAAGGGGGAGAATTCCAGAGTCAACACATTATTAGAGTCAAATGTCTAGTTTTCAACACAAAAATCACAAGGCATAAAAAACAAACAAACAAACAAACAGAAAAACAGGAAAGTATGGCCCACTGAAAAGTAAGTCAAAAAAAGCTGTCCTGAAAACGAATTGATGGCAGATCTATCCAACAAAGACTTTAGACCAAGTATTTGAAAGATGCTCAAAAAACTAAAGGAGGATGTACTGAAAGTCAAGAAAATGATGTATGACCTAAACATAAGTATCAATAAAGAGACAAAAAACCTAAAAAGAAACAGTAAATTCTGGAGCTGAAAAGTATAATAACTGAAATTTTAAAACTCACTAGAGGAATTCAAAGGCAGATTTGAGCAGGCAGAAGAATCAGCAAGCAGGAATATAGGACAATGGAAATTAGTGAGTCTGAGGAACAGAAAGCAAAAAGATTGATAAACACTGAACAGAGTCTAAGGGGTATGGGTGGGACACCCTCAACTGGAACAAAATACACACTGCAAAATAGCAGAAGGAGAAGAAAGAGAAGGGGCAGACAATATTTAAATGGCTGAAAACTCCCCAAATTTGATTAAAAATGAATATATTAATAACATTCAAAAAGTTTAATGAAATCCAATAAGATAAACTTGAACTCAAAGAAATCCACAATGAGAAATATTACAATTAAACTTCTGGAAACCAAAGACAAAGAGACAATCCTGAAAGCAGAGAGAGAGAGAAGAGACTTGTCACATAAAAGGAATCCTCAGTAAGATTATAAATAGATTTTGCATCAGACCCTTTGGAGGCCAGGAGACAGTGGGCCAAATATATTCAAAGGGCTAAGAGAAAAAAAATGTCAACCATGAATCCAGATACACACATACACACTCAGAGCAAAACTGTCCTTCAAAACTAAGAGAAACATTAAGACATCACCAGATAAACAAAAGCTTAGGGAGCATGTTACTGGCAAAACTAACCTCCAGTGGTCAAATGGAGTCCTACAGGGTGAAATGAAAGCATACTGTCTAAACAATAACTTTAAGTCATATAAAGAAATAAAAATCTCAATAAAGGTGAATACATGGGCAATTATAAAGGCTGGTATTATTGTAACAACAGTTTGTAATTGCATTTTTTGCTTTCTACATGATTTTAAAGATACACATTTTAAAAAATTATTAGTCTAAAAGCTAATATTATTTAAACATTGATTCATAAACCCACGTTGTTCTATACAATTTGAGAAATATGCATTTAAAGGTGAGGGAAATACCCATTGAAATAATAAGGAGATGAACAACCAAACTCCAGAACACTGACAACACCAAATGCTGGCAAGGATGTGGAGCAAGAGGAACTCTCATTCATTGCTGGTGGGAACATAAAATGGTATAGCCACTTTAGAAGACAGTTTGACAATTTCTTACAAAACTAAACACATTATTACCCTATGATCCAGCAATCATGCTGCTTTTAAAAGTAATGAGCTATAGAGCCATGAAAAGACAGAGTGACACCTTAAATGCATATTACTAAGTTAAAAAAGCTAATCTGAAAAGGCTACATATTATATGATTCTAACTACATGGCATTCTGGAAAAGGCAAAACTATAAAAAGATCAGTGATTGCTAGGGATTGGGGGTTAGGGGATAAACAGGGAAGATTTTTAGGGCAGTGAAAATACTATTTATGATAGTATAATGATGGATATATACCATTATACATTTGTCCAAACCTACAGAATATACAATACCAACAGCAAACCCTAATGTAAACTATGAAAGTGACTGCTTATGACACATCAGTGTAGGCTCACCAATTGTAACAAATGTATCACTCTGATGGGGATGCTGATAATGGGAGTATCTATGGGAGTATCTATGTGCGTAGCAGGACAAGGGGTAAATGGGATATCTTTGTACCTTCTCAATTTTGCTGTAAAACTAAAACTGCTCTAAAAAAAATAAAATCTTAAAAAAAAGAAAAAAAAACAGGACAACAGAGCATCAATCATGTCAAAATAGAGAAAATAAATCACTAGAAAATCAATAATTTTAGATATAATATTAAAGCAGCCCCAAATCTCTTTATTATTTTGGGCGATCTCATGACTAATGACTCTTGTCTCATTACATTCAAGGAAAATTGTTCTTTAATTCATATGTTACTGTTAAAAATCTATTCTTTGTGTTCTTCACATCAAAGTACATATATTCTAGTTAAATTTCACTTCTTGAATCTAGCTGATGATCTTCCCTGTTGATAATTTCTGGATTTTTGCCTCATCATCTAATCATCCTCATTGTACTTCAGGTTTAATTCATTTGCAAAATTATTCAACATACCACCATTACCCCCATACGAGCCATTAATAAAATGTTTAACAGGAGAAGAGAGACAATGAAACTTGTCCTTGACGATCTCTGTCCAATGTACCATCTGAGTTTCCACCAGCCTTAGAATATAGTTAGTAAATTAGCTATAAAGCTGCTTATGTATATAATTAACTCAGTTGCCATTTTTCCATATTATCCTCAACTACATTAGATTTCTTTAAATATCTTATGGATATATATCACACCTATTGCACCACTCTGATATACAAGTCCAATAAACCTATCAAAGAAAGAAGCAATGAAAAGAGAAGAAGAAAAACGTTAGTCTGTCATGATTTGTTCTTAGAGAAACCTATGCTGCCTTGTAATGATCATTGCTTTTCTCAGTGCTCCCTCAAGAGGAATAAACACTGTAGTAAGAAGAACAGAATTTGACTCTAACTATAAAGACAATAGAGGAGTCTCATATAGTCAGGTGATAAAAATAGAAATATTATTATAGCTCCTCATTTAATAATATAAATGTCATATTTGTTGTTCACATTTAAAATATTTCAAGTTGGTACCACTTTGATCTGCAAAGATAAATTTCAGATTTACCTTGTTATTAAAATTTCTTTGTTGGGTTTTTTCATTAAATCTCAGTTCATTAAGCACATGTTATTAATATGAACATTCTAAATAAAAACACAATAGTTTCAGAGGAGTATTAACTGCTAGGCAGATCACATGTGAAGCCAAGTTGGCCTTATTCTCTTAAGTAACAGTGTTTCAGAGGTGGAAGGGACCTGGTATTTACATAACAATTGCCTCTTTTTATAGATGAGGACATTGAGGTTCTCAGGGATGGAATGAATTGAGCAAGATCACAGAGCTAACTTCTGGCAATATCTGGCCATAGAAATTAGATCTACTCAGCTGCTATGGCTAATGTCTCACAAAACCATGATGTAAAAAAAGTAACAAGAACCAAAAAAAATACTTTCTTACCAACTGGACTTCACCAAAAGCACCTCTTCCAATAACTTTTACAACATCATAGTCTTCTGCCTTCATCTGTAGACCTCTGATTTTTTTCACAATTTTCTCATCTACAATAAAAAGGTTACCATATTTATAATATCATACTGCTAAGCAATGTTTTAAAATAATCACATTTGTAAATGAATTTTTATTTTAAGAAACTGGACTTCATTTTCAGCTACATCTGTCAGTTTTTAAAGTCTGCTGTTTAAAAGTATAAAATACAAGTCAGGGGCACTGGCTCCTACAGCACTCTGGGAGGACAAGGCAGGAGAACTGCTTCAGCTCAGAGTTCAAGACCAGCCTGAGCAAGAGTGAGACCCACTTCTAACAGAAAACACTAAAAAGAGAAAAATTAGCCAGAAGTCCTGGTGTACACCTGTAGTCCCAGCTATTTGGGAGGCTAAAGCGGGAGGGTTGCTTAAACCTAGGAGTTTGAGGGTGCGATGAGCTACAATGACACCCCTGCACTTTGCCCGGGGCAACAAGGTGAAATTCTGTCTAAAAAAAAACTGAATCCCTCCCCTTACTCCCTCCCCCATTAAGAAAAAAGAAATCTAAGATAGGCATTAACTTTACATCAAAGAACTAAAACTCTCTATAACCAATTTATTAACACATATAAAGGAACCCTACTGACTAGCAAAAAGTAGCCATTAAAGCTATTGTTTCTGACTCAGTTGCTTGGCAAGTTAGATGACAGCTGACACAGTGATGACCCAAGCAATTCTGGTATGCATTCTGAATCATGGCAGAAAGTTGCCAAGAAATTCCCTGCGAGGCTAATCTTAGTAATGAATTTTGATAGCCTACTTTTCTGAAAAGTGGTAATTATATATTGTATATATAGTAACTACAGACAAGATTGTTTAATTGGGAAAACATTCCAGTCTCTGGCAATTTCAAATTAAAGAGCTTACTGTGGTGATACGAATTGTTTTGAGAATTTCTTAGTCTTACAATTCAATTTCATTTACTTCTTCACCTGAACATCAATAATGGCAAATATTAAGGGTTACCACCCGTATGGTAACAATTGTTATCACATTATTTTTCATTAACTAGACTGAAATGTCCACATTTACAGAAACATAAAGATTTATTAAATCTCTGGTTAATATTAAGTCTTAGAGTTGTAAATCTAAATTTAAAACTTCTCTTGGCCGGGCGTGGTGGCTCACACCTGTAATCGTAGCACTCTGGGAGGCCAAGGTGGGAGGATTGCTAGAGGTCAGGAGTTTGAAACCAGCCTGAGCAAGAGCAAGACCCCATCTCTACTATAAATAGAAAGAAATTAAATGGCCAATTAATATATATAGAAAAAATTAGCCGGGCATAGCGACGCATCCCTATAGTCCCAACTATTTGGGAGGCTGAGGCAGAAGGACTGCTTGAGCCCAGGAGTTTGAGGTTGTTGTGAGCTAGGCTGATGCCATGGCACCCACTCTAGCCTGGGCAACAAAGCGAGACTCTGTCTCAAAAAAAATAAAAAAATAAGATAAAAAAATAAAACTTCTCTTGAAAGTGCTGCAAATAACCTGTCCTAAAATAGTAAATAGTCTTAATAATTTATTTAAAATTTTTTAACTTTACCTACTTTATATATTGTAATTTGGTTCTGCAATTTTACATTAAAAATAAAGAATGTTAATTTCCAAAAGGTAAACTAAAAGGTAAACTAAAAAAACTTAAGTATAATAACTTAGAGTTTAAAGTTACTAAGTTTATAGGCTACTAATATTAATCAAACATAAATCTCTTATCAAAAACATAGTTATGTCATCAAATGTGAAGCTAAAACATACTTACATCTATTTAAGAAATTATCTATATTCTTGTTTTTCCTCAAAGCAGGAAAATCCAAATCAAGGACCAAGGAGTTTAAGCCATCCTGTTAAAAAATAAAAAGAGAAAAAAACAGTTTTCACAATTACCAAGCATTCAAAAAAAGTATTCAAATTTTATCATATGTTGTTCTTGCTAGAAAAATGCCAATACACTTCGACATAATATTACCCAGAAGCTCCATATCCAACAGCTGTATCTAGTTTCTTAATCTCTGCCACAGAATATTAAGATTAACCTTATTGTGTTTTTCTTTGTTCTTTTAGCCAACAGAAAAATGCCACTTAAAAATACGTGTCGGGCCAGGCGCAGTGGCTCATGCCTGTAATCCTAACACTCTGGGAGGCCAAGGCAGGAGGACTGTTTGAGCTCAGGAATTCGAGATCAGCCTGAGCAAAAGCGAGACCACGTCTCTACTAAAAATAGAAAGAAATTACTTGAACAGCTAAAAATATATAGAAAAAATTAGCTGGGCATGGTGGCACATGCCTGTAGTCCCAGCTACTCGGGAGGCTGAGGCTGAACGATTGTTTGAGCCCAAGAGTTTGAGGTTGCTGTGAGCTAGACTAACGCCACTGCACTTCTAGCCTGGGCAACAAAGTGAAACTGTCTCAAAAAAAAAAAGTATCTATTATTACTTTTGTGAGTCAGATGTCTTTTCTCTCTTCAAATAGCCAGTAGTAAAACTTCACCAGCCTTTTGACTTTAAGAAATATACCTACACTCAGTTCCCACTCATTACACAAGCATTAATTTTGTGCCTAGTACACACAAAGAACAGAAAATCCAAAAGTAAGTATGACATTACCCTTACCCTCACAGAGCTTGGTCTCAAAACTTAATGTCTCCCAAAAACAACCCCAATAAAAGGATTTCTATATTCTTCTCTAAGTTTTCTGTACTTCCCAGATTTTTACAATGAGCATGCATTACATTTTATAATCAAAATACGAAAAAGTACATACATATAACTTGGTGGGGGTAAAAAGAAACTAATCAGAAAGTAACTAAAACCCAAATTACTCAATGGACATGCTTATGAAGGTTAACAGTATTTCTAAAACACTATATTGCATGTATTGTTTCATCCCCAAGTAACTCTAAGGAGGGCAGGAGGAAACATCCTCCTTTTTAAATGTGAAGAAACAAAAGTAAGGCATGGAAAAATTAAGTGACTTTCATTTGCCCAAGGTCACACTTTCAGAAAATGACAGTAACAGAATACTACCTAAACCTTAAGAGTTCTAGTATACTTAACTCATGCCCCTAGACTCAATGATCAAATTGACACCATGCTAAAAGAAATAATGGGAGCTTGGAAGGGTATAGGAAGCTAGAGGATTGCAGAAAAAAAAACCCAGCAATTCAGAAAAATCCCTTAGGGGACGTGGGTAGAAGGAAAATGTGGAGGAAATTACATGAAATTTAGAAAGGTAAGCTGGGTGTGCTAGCTTTGAATTGAATATTTTTCCTTGCAGGAATTGGTCCAAAGCCTGGACGAAGTGGTCGTCAGTTGGTGCAAGGTCTGGTGAACACAGTGGATGACAGAGAGTTTCCAAGTCCAGCTTCTATAGTTTGAGCAGCGATCTTTGTGCAACAGGTGGTCGAGCTTGTAGAGCATTGTCTTACAAGAGAATTCGCCTATCTCAAAGGACCAAACTCAGCTGCTTAATAGCAAGCATCCTCATCATTTCATCCAACTGGTTGCAGCAGACACCCGCTATAATTGATTAACCAGGTTTCATGAAGCTGTAATGGGTAATACCAGCGCTGGACCACCAAACAGATACCATTAGCTTTTCTGATGAATGTTTGGTTTTGGACTATGTTTAGGCATGTCATCTTTATCTGACCACTGTGCCAACTGTCTGCAACTGTTACAAAGAATCCATTTTTCATCCCACATAACAATACAGTGTAGAAATGGTTCGCCTTTTACGTTGTGACAGCAAAGACAGACAACTTCAGGATTTCTCTTCTGACTCTCATTTAATTCATGCGGTACCCATCTATCCAGCTTCTTCACCTTGCCAATTTGTTTCAAATGGTCCAATATTGTTGGAATAGTAACGTTAAACCTTGCTGCTAAATCACGCATAGGTTGAGATAGATTCCCTTCCACCACGGCTTTTCAGCTCATCATTTTCCACCTTGCTCTCAAGTTGCCCACATGGCTCATTTCCAAGATTAAAATCACCAGAATGGAACTTCTCAAACCATCGACGCACTGTGTGTTCATTAGCCACATCCTTCCCAAACACTTAGTTGCTATTTCAAGCTGTCTGCGCAACATTGGTTCTGCGCTGCATTGATTCCACGGAAGAGCCGAACTTCTATTCGAAAATAACATGAATTTTTGACTTATCCATGTTACACAAAAATTGCTCTAAAAAAATTTGAAAGTTAATCACAAGGCAAAATATGTGTTTGAAAGTCTGAGGATGTACCTTCACAGTAAAAATAAAACAAGAAGTGTCAAAGTGAAATGTCAGAGACATCAACTGTCAAACTTAGTACTTAAGGAAATCAGACATTTCATATTTAATAACCTAAAAATCATTTATTGAATGCATACTATGTGCAAAACAAAGTCACTTTCATATTTAATTATCATAAAAGCCCCACTGGAGAAGGAATGTAGGAAATAGAGAAGTGTTTTGAGGCAGAGCCACTTAGGTACAGAACAGAAGCAGAAGTTGTAACCATAAAGAACTATTCTGCTATACATACAACTACCACTAGGAACTGTGAAAGAACACTTCAGCAAGAAGAAAACAGTTGGCCAGGCGTGGTGGCTCACACCTGTAATCCTAGCACTCTGGGAGGCTAAGGCAGGAGGATCCCTCAAGGTCCGGAGTTCAAAACCAGCCTGAGCAAGAGCGAGACCCTGTCTCTACTAAAAATAGAAAGAAATTAATTCACCAACTAAAAATATATAGAAAAAAGTAGCCGAGCATGGTGGCACATGCCTGTAGTCCCAGCTACTCGAGAGGCTGAGGCAGGAAGATCGCCTGAGCCCAGGAGTTGAGGCTGCTGTGAGCTAGGCTGATGCCACAGCACTCTAGCCCAGGCAACAGAGTGAGACTCTGTCTCCCAAAAAAAAAAAAGAAGAAGAAGAAAATAGTTGTTGTTGGTTAGTTGGTTGTTTGCTTTGCTTTAAAGTACACACTCTTTTCTCCTTTTGCTAACTACATGTAAATCTAACTGCATATTGCTTCTTCATTTCTGGTAGTAACTTCACTTTAAGCAGAAATAGTTAGTTACCAATCAATTTAGATACCCATTAGCAACTGTGGTTTAAAGAAAAAGAAAATTACTCAAATACATTGAACCTAAATCACAATTAATTGGAACTTACAAATAGCCATAATTTTTCCTACATCCAAAAGGAAAAGGCATCAGTATAAATACATATCTGGAATTTATTCTTTGAACCATCGTTTAGGGCTTGCTAACTCTATTTCTACAAAGTACACAGTGACCTAACACCATTATTTCCAAGTTTCCACCTAATACTGAACAGACCAATATGAAAGATGACCTACTGAAATTAAAAATATATACTATTGGCCGGGCACGGTGGCTCACACCTATAATCCTAGCACTCTGGAAGGCCGAGGCAGGTAGATCACTCGAGATCAGGAGTTCAAAACCAGCCTGAGCAAGAGCAAGACCCCGTCTCTACTATAAATAGAAACAAATTAATTGGTCAACTAATATATATAGAAAAAATTAGCCGGGCATGGTGGCGCATGCCTGTAGTCACTAAACTCAGAGGGTTGAGGCAGCAGGATTGCTTGAGCCCAGGAGTTTGAGGTTGCTATGAGCTAGGCTGACGCCAAGGCACTCACTCTAGCCTGGGCAACAAAGTGAGACTCTGTCTCAAAAAAAACCCCACAATACACACACATACACACACACACACTATTAATAATACATAACAATATAAGTTACATACACACAGACACACACAAAGGCTTGGCATGGTGGCTCACTCCTGTAATCACAGCACTTTGGGAGGCTAAGGCAGAAGGATCACTTGAGGCCGGGCGCAGTGGCTCACACCTATAATCCTAGCACTCTGGGAGGCCGAGGCGGGTGGATTGCTCAAGGTCAGGAGTTTGAAACCACCCTGAGCAAGAGCGAGACCCGTCTCTATATAAATAGAAACAAATTAATTGGCAACTAATATATATAGAAAAATTAGCCGGGCATGGTGGCACATCCTGTAGTCCCAGCTACTTGGGAGCTGGGGCAGGAGGATTGCTTGAGCCCAGGAGTTTGAGGTTGCTGTGAGCTAGGCTGACGCCATGGCACTCACTCTAGCCTGGGCAACAAAGTGAGACTCTGTTTCAAAAAAAAAAAAAAAAAAGAAGGATCACTTGAGGCCAGGAGTTCTAGAGCAGCCTGAGCAACATGGCAAGACTCTATTTCTACAAAAAATAAATAGACAGATAGATAGAAAGAAAAATCAGCCTGGCATGATGGTGCACACCTATAGTCCAGCTTTCTGGGAGGCAGAGGCAGGAGGATCACTTGAGCCCAGGAATTTTAGGTTGCTGTGAGCTGTGATAACAACAAAACGATAGCCTACCTCAAAAAAATACTTATACACACATGCACACACACACACTACAATTTGCATATTTAACCTAAAAAAAGTTAAGGCATAATATAGGCATTTTCAACATTATCTCACTCTTGCTAGCTTTTAGTGAATTGTGAAATACTATACTTTACACACACACATGATCATGCATATTCCTGGATGTTATCTACTAAATTTTTAAAAATTCTCTCCTTAAAAAACTACCTAGTAGATTAAAAACATTCCATTTTAGGGTGCAGACATATGTCAAAGTTTATCAAATTATACAATTTAAATATGTACAATTTATTCTATGTCAATTATACCTCAATTAAGCTGTTTAAAAATGAATATAATATTTGTGGAACACAGATGGAACAAGAGGACCTTATCTTAAGTGAAATAAGCCAGGAACAGAAAGTTAAAACACCGAATGTTCTCACTCATATGTGGAAGCT